GTACATTTTTTCAAAATGTTACGAATATTCACTTGAGTGGGGTGGGCGGCAGGCGGGCGGGCGGGCGGGGCGGGCGGGGGCGGGACGGGGCGGCGGAAGTGAAGGAGTAGCGGGGACGAATCGGAGGGGAGGGGAGTCGTGGCAGAGGGGCGAACGTTCGTTTGTCTAACCTCAAAAGTGCCCGCGCTGCAATCGCCCGCCGGCCGGTTAATTCCGCGACCGCATTAAGACGGGTATCGCGCCGTGGGAAGGGGCAAGGGGCGGGTCGAAGCAAGAGCGGAGGAAGGCGGCTGAGGTGCGGTTCTAGGCCGTGCAGGCGGAATAAGGGCGGCAGGGCGAGGTTGGAGCGGAGTGTCGAGACCGGGGGGCGGGTGGAGCGACGAGCGCAGTCTGTGTGTCATAGGGCTCGAACAGGGAGGAGCAACGAGTGTGGCTGGAACTGGAAGCGGTGCCGGGGGCGGAGGCGGGCCAACGTGAAGGAGGCATGGCGGTGTCAGAGGTGGGATGGGGGGGAATGGGGCGTGATGACGCATGGGTTAGGTCAGGGGCGCGGGCCGGGCCATGAGCAGGAGATAGGATTTGGGGCGCAGTCGGGGATTGGAGGAGGCTGGAGCGCGGTGGGTGGGGTGCAAAGGTCTGGAGTGTGAGAGAGGGGGGGCGAACTCTGAATGGGGAACGGGCGCGAATCGCGAATGGAAGTGGCATGTGCATGAGACTCGTGCACGAAGGCGAGGGGCGAGAATGACGGTGGGGGCGAGGGTGTGGCGAGGATTCGCGGGAACGGAGTGCGAGAGCGTCGGTAACCTCCCCCTCCCCTAATGGGCGATGGGCTTCGCTAGTAGTACGGGAAGACGCTAGAGAAAGCAGAGGACTGTCGCTGGGTTAACCAATTATCTACTACTACTATAAAATATATATATATTTCTACCATTTTATATTATACAATAACGTAATGTAATTTTCTAAGGTTATTTAACATATTTCTTTTCTTTTGGTCTCAGATCTATAAAAATGCTAAACAATTTGCTAGTGGTAACTCGCCATTGTTTCGGGACGTTTTGAGTAGCATGCAAATTGCATTTTAGTACTTGGTAAGTTCATTATGCATTCAGCTGTATTTCAGCGAACAAGAGTGAGGTTATGAAAAGAGATGTTACGAAGCAGATGGAGACATACACACTATTCCAAGATTTTTGTTACAAACAAGTCTTGATTTGAAATTAATTCACGAGAGTGTTTTTGTGTCTACTAAAATAATAGCGATTACATCCCAGAGAGCTAACATGACGTTCTCTAAAGATTTATTCTAAAAAAGGTGTGAAGGCCCACTAAAGGTGATGATCTAAAACGCGTATTTACTTTCAGTCTGATAACAAGATACGAATAATCAATATTTTTTTTCTATAAGAAAAGGTGTCAAGCGTTGTTTTAATAAAGCCCTTTGTAGTTCCCCCCAATGTCCAATGACTCTTTGAGTTAAATTTTGAATGTTCCGAAGAAAGAAACAACGTAGAAATCAATTTAAGAGTAATGGGTTGCACCCGAAACCATTTTATCCCTTCCTCAGGGGCGGGAGGGGGTGGACGGGGGGCACCGGTTCGCGCTCTAAGCGGATTCAAAGTTTTCAGCGTTGCGCGAAAATCTAGTGTCACGAGCGTAGAGCCTCGTCGAACTACGCAGCAGCGTTGTGAACACGTGTGAAGGAATGACACGTTCCACACTCAAGTGCGTATTAAACATAATAATTCATTTTATTGCACAATAATACAAGATTACAAATGATACAATAATAATATGAATTCCTTAATTGCAACTGGAGGTACATTCAGGAATATAATCATGTTTATCAAGTATGCATCTCGGATGCAAGGTTAATTGATAAGGAAACTTAACGTGTCATAACCCAGAAGGTTGTTGGCAGATGTACGATGAAGACATTTGAATAAAAAACGTAAACGAAAATGAGAACATAAACATATGACGAAACCGAAGAAGTTCACAAGCCACGAAGTATACTTTTAAGTTAACATCTGAGAACAATGTACTATGGTTTTTCACAGCAAGATCCAAAGGACGTCTTGTGATTCCATTTGACTGCGACTAATTCGTTTTGTAACAGCATACATCGCAATTCATCATCATTGCTTACGGAACGTTCGTTGTGATACGAAATGGCTGTCAGCGATCTTTCACTCACGGCTTACGAAAAAAATAACATCCATGCTTGTTCGTTTTATTTTAATTTGTTTTATAGCACTTAACAGTAGAATTTATGTGCCGCATATTTATTGCATTGATATCGATGAGTGGCTATGTTTAGTGTATGTTCGACGCTATTGTGAATGGTTCGTTCATGTTT